AGAAAGAAAGAAAGAAAGAAAGAAAGAAAGAAAGAAAGAAAGAAATGGTTATGCCGTGGTGCTGTCTGCTGGTGAGCAATCTAAGCCGCATGCTCAGTTCACTTCTGCAGAATCACCTGCTTCTGCTTCACCCATTTCTGTTCAAGCGTGATTCTTCTGAGTCCCCACAGTCTTTTCTCCTCCACGCCACTCTCTCAATGTTTGAAATCTCAAGCATTCATTATGTTTTTCTCCTTTTCACATTAGCCAGTGCTCAGGTCAGTGTTACCTCTTAGGAGCTCTCCATCTGTCCCCTTTTCTCCATTGCTGCTGCAGATAAGCACCTACTTGTCACCCACTTGGGTCACTCCAAAAGCCTTCTAGCTAATGCTACTGTTTCTGGTCTAATTCTCTGGATGCTGCCTGATCACTGCATGTGTGATTTTCATTATGTTATTGTACTGCTTAAAGCTACTCAGTGGATCTTTCTCCATTTCAAATACAGAACAAATGTCTTAGTTGGCTTAAAAGACCCTTAGAATCTCTCCAGCCGTACTTCATCCTTCTCACTAAATGGAAGTCTCTGTTTTCCACATCTGAATCATTATTTTGTGAATCTCTGGGCATTTGCCCATGTTCTTTCTTCTGGCATAACATCTCTCCTTCTTCCTAGTTCACCAAACTGACTCCTACTAAACCTTGGAATATCAGTCTTCTTTGTTTTTCTAGCAAATCAACTGAGGGTTCTAAGAAATACATCAATTTCTAATGCTGTGAGAGTCCTGTTAGTATGTGCATCAGAAGTTTTTCATATCATCACAATATTGCTTATTATTAACATTAAATGTGTTAATTAATCAATATACTAAGAATCAAGTTAGGTCTTAGGAGATAAAGATGAGCAGAAGACAGCTTTTGCCTTTATAGAAATCACAGGCTTATTAGAAACATGATGAATAGGACTAAAAGTCACTCATCATGCTAAGCACTATGAAGTTGCAAAATCACCCAGGAGGCAAAGGGCATCCTTTCTATGTGAATTAGATGAAATTTCACAAATTAAGACAAAACCTGAAGGCTGAGTAAATCTTGTTAGATGGGGAAGAAGAAAAAAATCAGCATGAAGGAGAATAGTATATTATTATAACTGGCTCTAATATTATCTTTTCCTTAACTAATGTTGATGCTAACACTCCTATATGGGCTTTTTTTTAACCACCTGAAAGGACTTGAGCTAATGAGAATGTCCTCAGACAGTTTGTTTTAGACACAACTCATTTCATGGCTAGGGTGGGAGTAGTTCTCTTTTAGTTTATATTCAGTCACATAAAAGTTTGCAAGTCTTTTCGAAAGCAGTGGTGTGTGTAGTTTTCAATCAACAAAATCACAGCTCTTCTAAACCTTGTTGATACTGGCATTATCATCATGCAAAGCTTCTTGCTTCTTGGGCAGACATAAATGCACATAACATTCGGAGCTGGCAGTTTTATTTGGGGTGTTTGGACGTATTTACATTTGTGCTTAGGAAAGCATCTTTCTGATCTGTGACAACAAACTGTGAATTCTATTAGGAAACAGGTCTTCAGAATATTGGCAGGGTTCTCATGTTCACTGGAATCTATTTAAATACCTTTTGGGTCTGTCTGTGAAACACATATGTTCTTATTAATTGATTACACATTAATAAAAATGATTACACGTTGACAGTTGCAATGCTTTTCAATGGAAGTGCAAGGTGTGATAAAATAGACTCAGTTAAACTTCTGTTAATTTCTGCTTATTTGATATTGAAGAAATAGCTTAAAGTTTACTTTAAATTGAGACAATTTCATGATGGTTTAAAGTGGCTTCAAAATTAAATTACATTAATTTTCTGTCATTCCTCACCTTATAACCCACTGTGACAATTCTTTCATCACTTTCTGAAAAAAAGGACTCATTAAACCAGCCACTCCTTGCAATTGGCCCGTTTTAGGCCAAACAGAGTGAAAACAGGAAAATGAGAAACTTTGAATCATGTAGAACTGACAATGGTTATTGTTCCTTGGGTTGAAAAATGGAACTGTCAAGTTGTAATGATCTCTGTGCTTATATTTCTTTCTTCTTAGTACTTAAAAGAAACAATAGAAAATAGAACATAATTTATTTTCTTTAAATTTAAGGTCACTAGTCCATAGTCTTTTAAAGAAGACTTATTCCAGTTTGACTTTAGAACTAAAAGAGCTGATCTCAAATCTTTGATTGAGGATTCAGTGGTGGAAGTAGAAATCTACTTTCTTCCTGCTTGGGGCAGCTCATTATCACCAGAGAAAAAAGCACCTGTCTTAATCTCATTTTAAACGCATGACAGAATATCCCATTTGCATATTCTGAACTTCTGGGCAATCCTGTTCCTCTTACTTCCTAAAATGACTATCTTGCCCCTCCTCTTGTCTTGGTGAGTTTCTTAAAACTTTTGTTCATTCTCAGATGATTATTCCTCTCATACTTAATTTGAAAACATAAATACTCAGACATGACTATTTCCTCTAATAGTAAGTCTACTGATCCAATTTTATGTCAGTGTAGGCATCTTTTTGCTAACATAAATGTCCCTGATTGTATTCAGGGTGACCTCTTTTGCCTGTGATCCTGTGCCACTTGTTCTCTCAAGGACTTTGCTTCTGCAGTTTTGTATTCTTCAAAACAATCTTTCTCCTTCAAGGGATATTTTGATCTTATATGAATATTCTATAACATTTCCCATTCCAAAAAAGAATAGGCCCAATATACATCTTCTCCAAGCTTCTGGACCATTTCTTTGATAATTTTTACAGTTTTAGTTATTACTCGCTCCTACCCTGCTCTTCTTAAGCATGTGTGACTCTAACAGTTAAAGCTCCATCCTGTTCCTTCATCTCTTAAGAGCAGTCAAGACAGTTGACTAGCTTCTTCTTTTAAAAGCTGTATCTACTTTTAAGAGATATACCAGATATAATTTCATACCACACCATCCTAAAACTCAGTGGCTCAAAAGATTGATTTATTATTTCTCACGAGTTAATGGATCTGCTGTGTAGGTAACCTGCTTCCATCTTTTCTTATCCATGTTATTTGATTGGCTGTAGGTACTGTAGCTTTGTGGTCTAGGTTGGGCTCTTTTGTGAAATGTGGCTAGTTTTAGGATGACCTCAGCTGAAACATTATAGACTAGCAATTTGACATGCTCTGCCCAATACTATCCTATTATCTTTGCCCATTGAGAAATTAATGGTGGTGATGCATTGATGGCAATTTTTGGTTTTGTGTGTGTATGTGTGTGTGTGTGTGCATGTATGCAAATAGAGAAATAATATGTAATCTTTTTTCTTTTACAATTCTGTAAATTGTATGGTTTGTTTTCAGGAAATAAGAACTTAATGGAATTGATTTCCACTTTTCAGTTTCTGATTGTACGAAAGATCAAAACAAAAGTGGAGAAGAATTAAAAACCTTGCAGGATAAATGCGTGTATAAATAAACTCAACTTTTTGGTGTGACTGAGAAAGCTCTCATGTATAAGTGAGTTATCTCTGGAAGACATGAAACCTTTTCGTATGTAAATATATTAAAACTTTGCAGCTTTACCATCTATGAGATGTGAGAGGTCAGGGAAAATGACTCATTCAGTTACTCCAAAATGTGAAACTACATTTGAGTGTAAAAATGTGAGCTACATAGAGTCTAGTGTACTAGGGATCACCAACTCTCATTTCATAAGGCTTTAGAATAGATACAAAGTCACTGAAAAATTTAAAAATACAACAGTAGTGAACAAAGAAGTTGTAAATAGTGACTACTGCTCTTTGATATTGGTTCAATTTAATATGTAGAATTAAATCTTAAAATATCTGTAGGGATTGTTTAACTCAACACTATTTTGCAGATGAAAACACTAAGAAGAATTAGAGATTCAGGGAAGCCAGCTGATTTACTAGGGGTACCCAGGAGTACAGACTCATCCCTTCTGTGTGTGGCTCCACTTTTTTTCTGAGAAAATGTTTAATGTGTTTCCAAACTGTTTAGAGCTTAAACACAATCCCATATCCTATGCATAGTCAGGAATTTATTTACTTTGGGTATTCCAGACAATTTATTTCAACTTTCACATCCAGAAATCATACATTTTAGTTTTCACAAAATAAGACACAAAACTAAATCTTATGATATAAGGGAAATCACAGGACTTGCTTTTCAGAATTATCTTTTCATGCAGTATCTTTTTAAATGAGCACTTTTACTGTATATATCTCAGCTCTGTAGGAGAGAACAATTGAATTCTCTAACTCTGTGTTGAAGAGGAAATCTTCCATGATTGTTCATTTTGGGGAGACAACTTTGATGCGTGCTCTCTTCCTCGGAAAAAAAATGACAGTTTTTCTAAGAATATTTGATCCTTTTCTGCTAATTAATTGAGAAATCAGTTTTTGTTTGTTTGTTTGTTTGTTTTACTAATGGAGAAATCTACCACCAAGAAGTATGAAACTAACTTGATTTTCCTTGTATCAGAAGTTTTGAAACTAGGAAAACAAATGTAAATTTATCTAATGTGAACATTAACTACCTTGAGACATTAAGTTTTGTGATAAGATGATGATTAAAACTTATTAAAAACTTTTATTTGCACTGGAATTTAAATTTCTCTGCATATTTTACTGAAAAATCAGACTTCTTGCATTCATGATTCTTAGCACACACTACCTACAAAAGCTTTCAAAGACGACCCTTTGTTTAGAAGTGAACGTTGGGGTCACCACCTGTTTAAAGTTTGTACTGCCCCTGTCCTTAAGTGGCTCTAGGCAAGTTCCTCAGGTTTTGTTGCATTTGTGTAAAGGGACACTACTGCTGCTTCCACAACAGGTCTGAGATGATTCATGTATTTAACTAATGAAGTACTAAGTTAGCGTAGTCATTTCTGAGAGACTGAACTAATGGGGGACAAATTCATACCTTGGAACTTACTTCTTTACAAACAACAAAAATAAACCATGACATCTATGCCATCAGCTAAACTTTTATTTGTTTATTTAAAATATACTTGAAAAATACAATCTCTCGTCAATTGAAATAATACATAGGACAGTTGTAGGGGCCTTTTCTCTTAAGATGGTTATATAACCCATTAGTTTTCTGTCTCTTCTCTCTTTATGCACACTTTTAGGATTATTTATTAAATGAGCCAGCATATTCAGTTTCCTCATTGATTAAAGATAAACAAAATCCTTGACATGTTCATTTGAGACGTGTCATAATTACATTCACTTTTAAAATGATCTTTAAGCAACCTCACCAAAGAGCACATTTTCTAAATTGAAGAAGAAATGAGGGAAAAATATCTAAAAAAGCTATCATGATTATTTTCCTTTCATGTGTTAAAAAAGCACATTATTCTGCAATCTTGTCTTTCTCCAAGTTAGACTGTGAAGGTATAACTATTATTAGGAAAGCAACAGTTCTATTTATGTTTAATTCAATGCCTACATGTGAATTATGTCATAGTAAAGTTTGTATATATCCAAAAAATAAGATTAACATTTAATTTCTTTGATATAAACGTAAAGCTATGAGCAAGCAGGAGGAACCCACACACCATTTACTACACACTATGATGTACATTTAATTGGTGACTCTGTAATTAATGTGAATTTCTGGTTTCATATCACATACCATGCCCAAAAGCTGTTTAAGCACACTTTCCATATACTTGTTGTAGCGTCTGTTCAGCTCTTGTATCTTCTTTAGTGTTTCTTCTTCTAATTCATCTAAGATATTACTCTGAGAGCCCATTATCTACCAAAACAAAGGATGGAATTCATTATACCATACATTTATATTACCGGTTTTTGTTTTATAAGCTTCAGCCCACTGATTGATGGTCACACCCACAAAATACAGTGTAAGATACCTTTATATGAACAGTAAAGTGTGTTGTGTGTATATATATATGAGTGTGTGTATGCAGTATATATATACAAGTATGTGTACATGTTTTAATTACATACACAATCTTGAGAATTTTAGGGTAAGTTGACTTTCTTTCAAATTGAGATGTACCTGTTTCTTTAGTTGCATTATAACTTTAGTCAGTTAAATACATCTTTCTGATTGTTCTTTAATTGTCAGTAATTCTTAATTATTTTCATAATCTCCAAAATCCTCTTAGTCTTTGTCAATTATAATTTGACTAAAATAAAGTCTCACTTCCAATTAACAGTTTAGAGGAATCTACCAGTGGAATACTTTAACAGTTATCTTTTGTTAAAATAATCAGCTCCTTCGTAATCTCAGCCTTTCTTAAATAAGATTTTGTTAAGGCAATGCAGTTGTTTTTTTTTATTTTTATTTTTAATGTGCTCTTAAGGATAAGATGTACTTATATAATTCAAAAACACCACTGATGACTGGCTTTTACTAAGGAATTGCTTGACTATTTTAGCTTCTAGAATTCACATAATTCTTCTGGGTCTTAAACTTGCACCCAGATACAATTAAGGGTACTGAGGTTAAATTTTTCATGATTATAGTCCAAACAGTGGGGGTATCTGGATTCAGGCAAAGTAATATTGATAAGATATTGCTTCTAAGATGCCAAATAACTTTTAAAAAATAATATTTTGGCAATAAGGACATAAGTAGCAGACATACACCTTATAAAAATGCTTAAACATAGAACCACCTATCAAAATAAAACATTCTACCAAATTAAATATTTTCCTTCTAAATTCCATTGTATGTGTGATTTTATCTAACTGAAAAAAAATCCCTTTAAGTCATAAAAAATTAAAATACAACTTATTGGGAAATGATCACTGATTTTGAATACATATTTATTATACAGAATACAATAACCAGTGTTCCAGATGTTACCGAAAACTCACTACGTTCACAGCTACGTTCACAGGCAGAAACCTGTTAGCTGAACATTTGGGAAGCAGTATACATTAGAAATTGGTAATTCTGCAAGACATCCTTGTATATTTGGTCAAAAGATGTCGGTTATGAACTTTATGTCAATTCGTGTAGCGTTCAATCTACCGACATGGTGATGGTAACATCTTTGACTCAGTAACTGTCCTTGTAAGTTAATTAAATGTTTCTGTTTAAGAGCTTCAAGTCTCCAAGTGGTGAACAGGCTTTTCCACTCAAACTTTTATTGCCCCAAGAAGATAAGATCCTATTGAGATATAAATTCAGAAAGAAAAAATATACAAAAATTCTCAGTATGCCCAAGGAAACTATGGTTAAGCCTTTCACTTACATTGATAGTCCATGTAACTTTTATTTGTATTAACAATAGATTTAATATTACATGGTCCAGATTTTTAAACAACGTAATACCTTACACTTGCACTTATTACATTGGGTAGCAACAATAAGGAGGGGCTATATAAATCTTTGCTGAAATAATATTAGTGGATATATAACTTACACTAGAATTCCTGCTTGTGTTGTTAAGTCAGGAGACTTGCAAATTCATACATACTAAGAAGAGCTAAAAAGCAGCTATATAAAAAGAAACATCAGGGTGCAGTACCCACAGCAGGGAGAAAGCTGGCTTCTTGGGTCCCCTCCCAGACCTCCTAATTGCCCTGGGTTAATGATGACTAGATTTACTGGGAATAGCAATATGCCTGACATATGGAGGTCATGCCAGGGAATGAGGATCTGCACTAATGGTGTTACAATATGCTTGAAGTAGCAGAGGCTTCAGCATGATGACTCTCCTATGTGAGCTTTTGATCAACTAGCTGTAAAATTGGCTTGGACCTCTAATTATGGGGGTGATGAGGAATTTTAATTGTTTTTCAAGGCATAAAACAAATCTTGAACCAGAATTCTATCTGATAGGATTCTTCTGGAGAAATTGCATTTCAGAGGCTTTGTTGAACTATTCTTTGAAATTATGGTCAGTTTTATTCTTATGTTTAAAGTAAAATTAAGTAGAAATATTCTACACGATAGTCAAAGGGGTCATGAGTGCTGATGATTATTCTCTCAAGTTCTACTGTGATAGTTTGGACAGAATTCAATAGGAAAGATAAGGCTACAGAGGAAGTGGTTGGTTATTCATTATTTCAACAGATATTTATTGCATGACTATTATGGAGAAGGCACCATTTTAAAATCTAGCAAAACTATGGAGAACAAAACAATGAATCACTGTTTTGCTGCTTATAGTCCAAAAGGAAAGATAGGCAATAAATAAAAATGTTAAATACACATTATATTATATAGCGAAAAATGCTATAAAGAAAAAGAATGGGCTTATAATGGGGTAGTACTTTATTTGGAAAGGAAGACAGTTTTAGATAAGGTAATGAGAAGATGCTAACAACCATAGAGGAAAAAAGACAAATGTGTCAAAAAAAGGAAAAGGAATTACAAGGATAAGAATGGTGTGTACAAAGGCTCCAAAGTAGTGGCATGTTCCATCTGTCTGAGGAAGAAGAGAAAAACCAGTATGGCCAGGGTAGAACAAATATAAACATGCTATGGGCCAATCACAGCGGGCTGTATACACATGTATCGAGTAGGAGTTTAGGTTTTTCCAAATATTGATATTGATAAGATGAATTTATTTTTGCTGAGTGGTTCACTTTTCTTGAGGAAGGGATTTTTACTGAAAGAAACAACTCACTGGAAAAGCTTATTCTACAGTGGGTTCACTATAGTAAATCAAATCTATTTGGACTTATCAATCTAAGATCAGTAAAATAAAAATTGCAAATGAAAAGATTTTCAAAACTTGTAGTTAATTTTGAAATATCAATCTTCTGAACAAAGCTTTCTTTATATTCTTACTGAGGCAAAAAGGGATTTTCATGTAAGTTTAATGATGGCTCATGGAGGTACTTTCTGTTAATCCATGTTTTATGGAAAGAAAGACATTAACTGAAATTTTATGCACTTATTTTTATTGTGAGTTGTAGATATTTAAAAAATGATAGTAAAAGCTAAAGTTTTACATTTTAGTGACAGATTTATTGAATGAAGCCATCAGATTGCAAAGGAAATACTAGAGGACTTTCAGCAATTTACAACAGTATCTATTTGATAATTCGTACATCTAGCCTGCACCAAGGAAACTGCCTAACCAACACCTTCTGTAACTTAACATGAACATTTTTTGCTTCTTCTAGTAAACAGTTAAAAAAATATATTTTCCAAAGCTTTTTCTTATGAAAACGTGTCTGTCAGTCTTTAATTTCTAGAAGGCATGATGCTTTACCCAATCCCTTCAACTCAGATATTTGAGAATACGATTTTAGTTATGCTATCTATTAGTAATCAGTATTGACTGATTCTTTATAGGACAAATTAAAGGTGCTTTGGAAGGAAAATTTACTGGTAATTCTGTTAGTTTTAAGATTTAGTTTGATGTTCTATTTTGATTGAACTATATCTGCTTAATCTGAGTTTATTTCTCCCAGTTTCACTTTATATCAGGTGAATATTAATGTCTTATAATCTATATTGCATAAAAATCACTTCTGACTTTCTCACCTTAGATTGTTGCAGACGAAACTCCTTCTCCCTCTCCATTCTGTACTGGTCAATTTCTGCCATTGCCTCTTCCTTAGCTTGTTTCAATCGTTTCCCTTTTCCTAAAAATTAACAGTGACATAGAAGGAACGATACTTCTTTTTAATATATATGGAACATCAAACTTGACTTTTTAAAACGTGGGTGACTTACCTGGTTTTTGAGTAATTTTTTTTTCTAGAATATCAGCTTGATTGAAAAGCACAGTAAATAATTAAATTTTCTTTTTTTTCTGTCTGATTCTCTCAAATATGGAAATGACAACCTTCTTTCATACTTACATGTTTAAATAAAATATCTGCCCATTTATTCACAGCAGTAACAGCCGAAGAACAGATTTTAGCTGTCATTTACTCAAAAAGATATTATTTGGTCAGATTTTCTGTCCTGACTTGCTGCCAGAAATCCTTCAGTCCACACCAACTGGATCCTATTTACCACTGGCAGGTCTCCAGCACCACTGCAAACATGCAGCTCAGACTCTTATCAAACCAACTTACTATTTTTTCAAACATTTTATTGGGATTATTTTTCCTACCATTTGTTACTCTAGAAGTCTGATTAAGGCCACAATACATCAAAGTAGGATTTTTTTTTTTGGTTGTGGCTTTCTTGGGAGGGGACTGGCAAGTAGCTGTAAAACCAATTGTTTTTAATGGTTAGGAGATTTAGTTAAGTAGCTATTTTTCTTTTATTAAGAGCAAAGGTGTAAGCCTTAAGCCAGCAGACAAGGTAGATAAAAGTTTTACACCAATATAATACTGTAGGGATCATTAACCAAGCACATGAACTTTCTGATAACCAGAAAAAATAAGCTTTGGGAGTTACAGACTAATAATCACTGCCACACCCTCACCACGCTCCATTTTCAGGGACTTAGGTGTAATTCTTTGTGATAAGTAAAACTTTAAAAAACCGAGTTGCATTAGAATTCATTTCTTCTTGAATATTATCTTTGAATTTTAGTGAAATGCCTCTTTTTTTGTCCGTTTAATATAGTTTATTTTCTGTGATGGTGTCTCAAATTATCATTTGTAACTTTGGTCATCTATGTTCCATTGTATGGAATTTGTATTAGAGAAGTGTTTTCTGATTAAGTTGCATGAAAAAAATCTTCATATAAATTTTATCATCTATGTATATATTGAATCATCCAGTGATCTCTTTTTATGTCTGTGCATGATTTAAATGCGTATTCTTTCTAAAATTTTTTTCCCAGTTAGGTCTGAGTTGCTTTGCTAGTTCCTGAATAGGTATTTGGGATAAAAGCAGATTCACTGAGTTACAAATTGATATGTGTTTCTTTTAAACGTCCATCACTCTTTGGTGGACCTGAATAAAACTTGTCAGGAATAATTAGCTCTGTACGTGCTCTCTTCAAAACCCAAGGCCTAGTAAAATGCAGAGTTCTTTTGATGCTGGAGACTTAGGGAAACATTCACAGTGATGCTTACTTTTCCCTACTTGGTGCTCATTACCATTTTGTGTATTCTGCTTCCTTCATTCTCATTGGTTCTAACCATTTTGAGGCAACCCAACATGCCCTATTTAGAGATTTTCTATGAACGGAACAGCTAAATGATATGTTTATTGGGGAAACTATTCCACCATCTTATCTCACTTCTTTTTCACTGCTTGTCATTAATATCAAGACAGAGATATAAATTGCTAATATGTCAGTATTTTTTTGGTAACAGTGAGTTGTGGTGTACATAATGATTTTATAAAATTAATGGCACAAAACATCATTATTTTCCATCTTAAATGCATACCACATAAAAATATTGCCTTCAATGTCACAGCTCTATAACACATTAAAAAAATAATAGCAAAAGCTCCTTGTGCCCTACCCCTGAGCAGAATCCAGCACTCTACTATGAGGCTGTATATTAGTTCCATCACATGGTGACAGTCTGAGAGTGTGTCTGTGATTCCCCTGTCATGGCACCAGTCACCTGCTGGTTTTCATTCAATTAAATAGGAGAGCCATGGGGAAATCCCTGCTGGCGCAGCAATTTTCTGGATAGACTCAGCAGCTGCCGCTGTGTGAGATCCCACATATGCTACACCTGATTTAATCCACTGGAAGAAATGGGAGCCTAAAGGCTACTGTTCTGTTCGAGGTGAAGCAAAATGCATGTGTCACATCCACTCATATTAACCTCTAGCTTGTTTCTCTCTCTGTATAGGAAGAGTGCCAAATTTTGAAATTACACCTATTTCCTGCTAACCATCAAAATCATGTTTGCTGTGAACAGAAAGGAGTTCACATTTTATTCTCTTTATACCCTGTATTATATAGAGGGTGACCATATGGAACATTTCAGATTTTATATATCACAATTGAATCTATGTTTCCCAAATACCTACAAAGATACACAAGGTCATCAGGCTAAGTTCTGGTTTTGAAAATATGTTCATCTAATGTTTTGTAACTTTAATGCTAAAAATATGCAGCAGAGTGGTTCAGGAGAGGATAGACTTTATTTTCTTCTTTCATCATTATTAATCACCTATTATATAAGCACAGAACTAGAAAAATAGAGAAGTGCATATCCTATGGTCCTTGGTTCAAGTTGGCATAGGTTTTGTGTATTTTGAAAAGATGTGCCTGGTACCCTAGGTTGCAAGAGGAAATATATAAAATAAATGAAACCACAGAATATGCAAAATCAACTGTGAAAGCAATGAAACAAAAATCTTGATTGATTGTTCTGTAAGAGTTGAAAATTGCAGTGTCTGTGGGGATTTCAAGTTTTGAAATTCTGGAAAGTCTGTGCTTCTCTCTCACTGTAATTACCATGCTGTGTGTTATGTTAACAGGGTAATCCACAAGTATAAGCACATCTGCCCAGATTATATCAGCAAGCTCCAATAGGGCTGACCAGGGAGATCAGAAAAACTCCTGGAAAGGAAACCACTGAGTTGAGTTGACTTACTAGACAAGACAGCAATGGGATGGACAGATCATGTGAAGAACTGAAAAAGGCCAAGAAAATCCTAAGACAATTTTGGGGACTCTGTAAGCAGTTACACTGTAATAAACCCACTTCTGGTTTTAGACATGCAACATGCATGCAGATAGGTTTACATTTAAACCGTTATATTCTACAATAAAGTTTAGAGGAAAGAAGAGAAAGGAAAAAAGATGTTTGTAATAATTTTTAGGTGAATCATAATGAAATAATTAAAAAAATAAATTTGAGGCAAGTTAAACTGCATTCTCTGTATGAGACAGAGGATAACGCTCAGAGATATTATCTGTCTAGGACAGGCAGAGTGAACTGTTCCCTGAGAAACAAATAGGTCCTGTTTTTTGGGTTGCTGAATTTGTTTGGGAATATTTTTCTGATGATGAAGATAGGTTGCATTTATCATCTCAGAAGAGAATCAGAATCCTATTCCAGGAAACTGTAGAAGGAGACATTAGAAGCCTTGTAACAAAGTTACTTAGAATTTCTGAGCCTGAGTTTTCTCATCAAGGAAAGAGCCAATACAGAGCAAAGTGATTACATATACTGTAGTTACACGTAGTACTTGACAAATAAAAGTTATTTTTAATCATTATTAGAGAAACAGGTCCAATTCTTGCTGAGACAATGACAGGAAAAAAGGCATAAGTTTGAGCTCTGATCCTCAGGCTGTCGTTCAGGGAGTTCCTGTGGGCTTCCCTGAAAATAACCAATAAATGAAATCATCGGGCAGCTGGGTAGACAAACCTGGAATCCACAGGGAAGTGTGGAATGGGGACAAATTTGCCTATCAGTCTCCTGGATTTGAGTAGGTTCCAGTCATGATCAAGAGTGTTTGGATAGAAAGCAAGGAAGAGTGTGCAGAATAAGAGAGTGCTAAAGTCTCAATCTGGGAAAATGTCAAATTCAAGCAAAGGACAGGAACCTGAGAGTAAGGACAACAAAAAGAATGTCTCAAAAGCTATGGCCAACAGTGTTAAAGTCTACGGAGAACTCAGATGAAACACTGAGTCAGTTAACATTTAATGGATGTCTAGTGTGTACTGCACACTTTTCTAGATCTATGGATAGAGCAGAGAAGACCATCTACTTCTTCTTGTCATATATTCTGCTTTCTGAATGTAGTTTAGAAGAGAGAAAACAGACGATAAGTACATAATATGATGGGGATGTTGAGTGTCATGAAAAAGAATAAAGAAACAGAAGTGGTAAGGAGAAAATGGTGGTAGGGTGTAATTTAGCTAGGTAGGGCCTTGGCATGAAAAGCTGTGGGAGTAGAAACTGAAAGGAATAAGGCAAATGGTAACACAAGCACCTTTGGGCAAGCCTGTTCTAGGCTGAGACAGCGGCATGTGCAGAATCCCTGAGGTGAGAGGGTAACAATAGGTTTCAGAACAGCAAAAACACCTTTTATCTAGCTGTGCATGGCTGGGCATTGCAACACTCTTGCAGTCCCAACACTCTGGGAGGCTGAAACCCGGAAATGAAAAGTTCAAACCTACCTGGGCAATTTGTCAATTTAGTGACATCCTGCCTCAAAAATGAAAACAATATTTTTAGATGGCTGGGGATGTAGCTTGGGGCAAAGACCCTGGATTCAATCTTCACTGTGAAAGAAAAATAACCACCTATGAGACAGAAATGAGTCAAAAATGACCCCAACATTTTGTTTGATGTCTATTAAACATCTAGCAGTGATGCTGAGAAGGCTGATATTTATGATTATCTGAATTTGAAGAGAAGCAAATGATCCAGGGATCTGGAAATACCAAGTGTGGGATGGTCTGTTGTCACAGAGCTGAGTCATAAACCAAGGAATTACAGGAGATAAACCTAGGAAGTATCTGCAGAGACAATGGAGAATAGGTCCAAATGGGACTTGATGTTAGAGACTGAGGAGATAGAGGAAACCAGGAGTGACACTGGTGTCCTGAGGTCAAATGGAAGAAGAATTTCAAAGTTGAAAGAGGGAGCCAACGATGAATGATACTGAATTTACATTAGGTTTAGAAATACTGTGGATCTTGGCAAGTGGAGCTTTGATGAATCTGTAAAAATAAAAGTTCACAGAAAAAATGATGGGGAAAATG